TGTAGATCCTGATCTGTATGAGGACACACATTTAGATAGTGGAATAGGACTAAACTGCATTTATATATGTATTTATGCATAGGTTAAGGAAGTAAAATCAAGAAAAGGCTGCAGCGAGTGTGGGATTTTTTTTTATAAATGTAAATGCACAAATCACATAATTGGTTATTGTGAAACTGTGCTTGGCTTAGATCTGCTTTATATACCTGAGACAGTCTCAAACTCTGGATCTGGATTAATCTGTCTTTAGCAGTACAAACACCAAATAAAGGGAGATACTGGCTGCTTCACATACAGGAGAGAGCAGCAAGAGACGCTGCCAAAACATGGTGGAACATGCCTGTGTACGCAACTGTAAGTGTCTCTAGCTAAATAATTTGATGATGAAAGAAGGGATAAGTTAGAAGGTAATCTTCCACTCTTCACTTCTTCTCTTAAATGTTCTTAAAACAGCCTTCTTTTTCATAATTTGACCGTAGAGTAACCAAATCAGTTTCAGGTTTTCTCATAATAGACGCTTTATCTAACATTTTTCAAGTGCTCGGTTTCGCCTTAAAGATTTTGACCTGAAGAAGAAGAAGCCAGATTCAAACTCTGCTGGTCACATGTCGTCATGATGACAGTGAGAAAGGGGCTTATTCACAGATACCATGTGTCAGTTTGTGTCTCTGAACAAGAAACAGGGGGCAGGCAGATGTTGCACATTATGTACCAGTCTACTGCCTCTAAAATTGTTCCGCAAATGAGGATCTTAATGAGAGGCAGTGTTTGTGGGTCAAGGAACAGCCTAATCATACTAAGTCAATTGCATCTTTTCTCTTTGTGTGTGTGTGTGTGTATGCAAGTGTGTGTGGCTGTGCGTGTGCATGCATGCATGGGTGTGAGTGTGGAGCAGTGAGCAGATGAACCAACATTTGTCTGACTCAAGAGGAGAGCCAGTCATCATATTTCTTCATTTCCCTCTCTCACCCTGTGCTCCAAATCTGGCTGGACACTTAAGTACATTAGCCACACAATATGGAGTTGTCTTGTCTCACCAGCAAAAAACAGATGTCAAACACGTGTCTTTGTTCATTTTCCTTTACCCTCCCTTTGCTTATGTTCAGCTCTCAAAACCCAAGCTATAGAGTCGAGAATCATTGGGCACAATGTCTCTAACCTTACAGCGACTCATTAAAACTGAAGACATGGATAAATATCAACAGGAGTAAGTACCTATTTTAAAAGGAAAACAGTAATTCTATCTGCCAAATACACATAAAGATCAATATCAAATTTCCATGTCATTTTTCTTTGCCATCGTGTGTGGTTGCTCAGGTTGTTCAAACTGGGGATTTATAACTGAACAAAGCAGTGATTACAGACACAGAGGAACCTTTATTTTATATAGAATACACGTGTGTGTGTCTGTGTAAGGGTAGTATCAAGAGACACCCATCTGTACTTTAAAACTATGTTTGAAGAGTCCTGTGTGCTTAAAAATAATATTAATATGAACATCACTACATCATGTCGACATGGTTTTTTACCTTCATTCCTTTCTTTCTAAAAAGTAAACCTAGGACCTATCCAAGGACCTGAGGAACTGGGGCAGGTCCTCTGTCTGTTTGGAGCTTTAGCCAATCTCAGTAATTTCAAAATAATTATTAACTAATGCTTTAACATGCAGCTGTAACATTAAACTGAATTATTCTTAACTAATTGCACAAACCATCATGTAATACTGTAGAATAAAGACAACTTCATATTCATAAATGAACAAGAGTCAGCAGATGTAAAGGTATTCAAGTTAAATCTGTGATTATAATATAAAAAACACTGCTACATCCAGTTTATATTAATCTACATTTGCTCAAACACAAGATATTGTGCATTTTCCCAAAAAATATTTTCATTGTATCCAGCAAGGTTATTATAATAAAAAATAAAACTAAACAAAAAACTCTAGTGATAGTTTCACTCTAAGTATAAAAGTTAGTGAACAGAAATAAAAATAACAATTTCTGAAAAAAACAGCTCTAACTTAAAAAACTAACTTGCAAAACTGACTAAAATATCAGAAGTCACGAAGTTAAACAAAACCGAATAATTTGACAGTCAAATCTAGAGTAAAACTTAGAACTTAAAACTTCAAAAGAAAAAAATCAACCTGGAAAATTAAAATTGAATAAGTTTAAACTTAAAATAAAATAAAATATAGTGGAAAAATCCCTAGTTTTAGTCTTTGGTAAAAAAGATCTGGTAAAATTTGTTACCACAGCCTGCCTGATGAGGCTTTGATAGACATCTTTAGTGAGACTTTGGTTTTCTGCCAGTCACCTGTGTTCAAAAGGTGTAGCATTTTTTAACTTTTAAATTAGTGTTGTCAGCATTAATCTTGTTAAAATGACGTTAACGACATTAATGACAAGTTAGCGTGCATCCCCCTGTGCGTGTGACTGCCCGGCGCTAACACGTTAACGAGCTAACTGTGCTAACGCATTGACCACGTGCAACCCCGTGCACGGCCCTATCCACACTAACTCGCTAACGGAGATTTGCTGCGTTTTCGCGGTTATGGTGTTAACATCATTTAACGAGATTAATGCTGACAGCAGTATTTTAAATATGCACCATATCTACATGATATAAATTAAAAATTACATAAATTAACACTGAAACTAACAAAAACTAAACTAAAATTAAACATGTTTCAAACAATAAACTGAAATGACAAAATCCATTCTGAAAACTAACCTTTTTTAGGGCAGCTCAAGTACCCCTAAATTCATTAATTGCTTGCCTAAAAGTATCTATAGTAACATTAGTAATAATCAGGCATTTTAGTATTATTTTCTGAAATTGTCTGTTAATGTTATATTTTGACAAGTGGAGATGGTGCAGGTTAGAATGAAAACAGGGTTTAATGGTCCCGTGTTCTTGATGTCATGATGTTATAGCGCACTCACGCAAAAACCGCTGCTGCTTCAACAGCAGATTTATCGTTAATAAATAAGATGCATTGGTGAGGCAGAATCCCCCCACCCACCCAATAGGTTGAATTTCTTCACACAAAAGTGCCACATGTCCTGTGCTAATATGTGCTAATTTCTGTGTCCACTTATTTTTATTTGTTCTCTGAATAGTGTTAGCTTTCATACATACACAGCTAACCTTGTTAGCAAATTTGAACTTTTTTCTTTAAATATGCTGTTATATATTGCACATTACCAAACAAGGAGCTGATGCACTTTTTTTTTAGTTTGTTAAAGATTTGTGTTCCTATTCTGGTCAAATTTGGCTTTATTGTTTGTTTATAGTACAGCTTCAGTTCCAGCTGACATCAGGTCAAAAGGCTGTTATGTGTCACTGGATAAGCATCAGTTTATGGCTTTTTTTAGGTTGTAAATTGTGTTTCACTGTTACATTTAAGTTTTTGTTAGCAGCGCAAAGACAGAGAAGAAGATAGAGAAGAAGAGAAAGGGAGAGAGCAGGATGAAGGCTTAAAAAGAAACAAGAGTGGACATTTAGTCAAAGTTAACACAAAATTGTGGTGTAGCTCCTGTTTTGACCACATTCATTGATGATGACTTCACATAACTAAGGAGTGATATAACCAGGTGAGTAAATAGGCAGATATTGAAGTAAGATGGAAAAAGAATAATTGTGTTTCACAAAATATTTTTACATGCAATTCATAGATGCTTCGTACGCTTTTTCAGTAGCACGCATAAAAATGCCGGTGGACATTCTAGACAGAACTTATTTATGTGAATGATAGCTTTTTAAGGGATTCATTCCACTCTAAACTTGGCTCAACAGAATGAAATTGATGTGACAGACTACAAATCTATTTGTCTGCACAATAAAAGGAGGGTTTTGTATGAATTAAAAAACTATATTGTAAAAGCAGCTCTTACATGTTTGCTTCATATCCATGTGTATGGACAGGGAGGGTGATTTTCTGCCATCTTTATTGAATAAATACAGCGGTTTATGATTCAGATGACTGCACGTGGTTAAGAGACTGAAACAAAGTTGTGCATTTTTATCCTTTCTCTTTGCAAATAGTTACTTCTTACTTTGGAGAATTCTGGTCTAAACCTATGCCCAAAGTTTGATAACTAAATTGACCACCTTAAAACAAGTGTATAATATTGAAAGGTGTGATTATTCACTTTGAATTACTCTTAAACACTAGCCCAGGGGTGTCAAACTCAAATACACAGTGGGCCAAAATTCAAAACTGGAACAGCGTTGCAGGCTAACATTAATATTTATTGAAAAAAAATATCTTCCTCTAGATATAAGAATTAATCTTTTCTTATGGACTCAAACAAGTTTTGCTGAAAAACTGAATATGGAACAAGCAAAGCTTAATACTAAACAATATATATATATTAGCTGTACAATACCAGTAGGCCAGCTCTAATAGTAATTTGGTATGGCTTTGTGGGATAAATGTAATTAGGCTGTGGGCCAAATTTGGCCCGCGGGCCAGAGTTTGACACCTATGCACTAGCCCATTTAACTAATTCAGTTGCTTTTGAAGGTAAGATTGTAACATGCACCCAGTTAAAATTGCATTGAGTGCATTTGCAGGCAGCATATTCTTTTAATATTAATTATGTGGCACTGTGCACATAACATGATGACTGGGGGTTGAGCCCCCTTAGAACTCTGAACCTAGATTCGCCCCTGAATCTCAATGAAAGTGACCTAAATTGAAAACAAAAATTCAAAGTGAAAAAGAAAAAAATATATATATATATCAGAAAATACAAAACTATGAAACTATTCCTTTTTATAAATAGGGGAAAAACTTCTTAAAATCACAGTTCAGGAGGCTATCAGTGTGCAACACTTCATTTTGGAAAACAAAAGAAAAACAGCAACAAACAACTGTTTTAACAAATCCCAAAGAAGCCAACCAAAACTGACCCGCGCGTTCCCCTTGCCGATCCCGATCATACTGCCATCTATGAACTGCTACTGTCGTGAAGTGACGTGACGGCTGCGACGCAGAGGGACAGAAGCGGAAAAACAGCGGGCTTGTTTGAAAAGAGGAAACCGTCTCCCTGGTTACTGACAGCCGTGTTATCCACACAGAAGTTTCATCTGGCGTTGTACAAAACAATATAACGGATGTACACGGGTGAACCCTTCAATTTCTCACAGTTCGAAGTATGTCGTGACGTTTTGTTTTCTAGCGCTCTGACTTCAGAAAGCTGTCAACACCAGAAAGAGTGTAACTCTTTATGCTTTACGTGGCTAACGCTAGCTAAGTAATCTCAGTGTTGGTCTTCCTGGTGCTGCTGCAGGGTTGATATCTGCCTGGTTAGCAAGCGATCGAAATAGGTAAGAACTTATCAGTCCTCTGGACGCTTGCTTATTTCTTCCTCAGCTCGCGGTAGAAACCTGGAACCCCAATATGCTAACATCACATAAATAAATTCAAAGTCCCTGTCGATATGGTTTCAGTCAGCTAAAATCCTTTCCAAGTAGTTTTGTCAATCCGATGCAAAGCAGTCTAATCACATGTTGTTTAAATAGCTGAGCTGTGCCATGTTTGTTTTGATCCACTGCTGCAAGTTCCTGAGATTTTTCTTTTAATATTTCATCACTACAACCCTTTTTCTTTTGCCTTCTTGCAGGTCTGAAAATGAGCTCAAAAGACGATGCTCGCACCCTGGTATTGGAGGAGCAGGTGAAGACTTTATCAGATGAGCTTTTGCAATGCCAGGTGTGTGAATGCATTTTGTTTTGGGTTTTTGTTTTAAAGCCATGTGCACACACTTCTGTACTTTATCACTGCTCATTGGGTTGTTGGATTTAGTTAAAAGTAGGAGAAAAAACCCCATTTGATTTCCCTAAAATAGGGATTTGTCCAGATTACTTGAGTATAACATGGTTACAACCCTTATCACTACATCACTGTTACAAACAAAGCGTTCATTTGGCTGTGATTTCTACATAACTCTTGTCAGTGTTAAAAAGTGTAACTCACTATATTAATCTTTACTTTATTTATCACTATGACTATGACTTTTTTTCAGACTACATATGTATCACACAGTTGTCAGCACCTTTTACTCTCCAGGCTGAGCATTCTTTTTTTTTTCAATTCTCACTCTCTGCTATAAATTGTGGACCTTCATTAATTTCAAAATTAAGTAATTACTGTTAATTTGGTCTCTGTGTGATGCATACCAGCCATGTCACCAGACTTTATTTAATATAAAATGTGGATTGATGAAAGATAAGCATGAGAATAGAATTTCGAGGTCTGTGAATGACTAGCAGGAAAACCACCCCTTTACATGATGCTACTTGTGATTTTAAAATAAAGCACATTTGACTGACTAGATAAAGCATATTTATCTCCCTCATACATATGTAAATGTCCTGATTATACCCTTAATGAATGTCTAGCACAGACAGGAAAAAGTGTGGAGGGCCCCCGTCAGATAATACACACACAGGCACGACATGCTCATGAGCAGATTTCCAAAGGCTTTCATGTTCACTTTGTGAGTCAGTGATTGAGGGCGTCCTTGCATACTCACCACCAGGTGGTGTCTAATAACATGAGTGAATTGATCCCAGCATTTCTCACTTTGTGTATCCGCACCACCTTGCTACACAGGTAGGCAGACAGCTGTGGGGTTCAGCAGATGAGGTGTTACATTTGAGTTTTGTAATAGAAGTAGAAATATAAACCACCTAACATGTTGGGCACAAACATTTGTTGTGCTGCTGTTTGTGTGTAACCACATGTGCGCCTGTTACCTTATTTATCCTCTGCATAAACTTTGGTTTGACTTCGGGAGCCAATTTTCAAGTGTTTATTCAGTGAGAGAACACAAAGGCATCAGAGTGGAGTGAATCCATGTATTGACGTATGTGATTAAATAAACAAAAGAAACATATTGTGTCTTCTGCAAATGCACCGGTAGTCAGTGTGAGTAAGTGACAGCTGAAATAACTTTGCCGGAGACAAGAGGGGGAAAAATCCCCACGACTGTAATAAAAATGTTTATGTAACTGGTTTTGTTAACCTGGGGTTTATTTACTAGAGCTGTTTGTCGAATGATAGAGATGACAGGAAAGTGGAGAGATTTCTGTCAAAGGAAACAAACTTTTCTTGTTCACTGCATGCAGACTGATTATGGTTATGTGGGTAATCATTCTCCAGAGGCCCATTCTTAGTCTTGCCTTGACACACCTTAAAAAAAGAAAGAAAAAGAATTATGTATGAGTGATGAAACAGTATGAAAGTCATTGAATAAAAAGTGAGACAATTATTTGGCAAGTAAATTTATTTTTAAGACAAAGTCGTGTCATCTGATAATGTTAGTTTTGCAAATTTTCTCCATGAATTTTGCCCCAAGAAAATATTAGCCAAGCAAAACCCTCTCTGACATCAAATTTTTGTAATACCGTGATTAGATTGTTTCTCTCAGGGTATTCTGGCTTCCTCCCACGGTTCAAAGACATGTGCGTTAGGTTAACTGGTGATCCTAAATCGGCCGTAGATGTGTGTCTCTGTGTCATCCCTGAGAAAGACTGGCGACCTGCCCTGGAATAGCCTCCAACCCAACAACCTTGAAATGGATAAGAGTAGGCCTTTTGCCTGCAAACTTTAACATTTGATTGCACCTTTAAACTTAAAAACCATTATAAAAAATGTTATTCTCACTTGTAGTTAGGACTACGCACTGTATACTTTGTTCACTTCAGACTCACTTATATTGAGCTGACACGAAAGCCATCTTTGGTGGTCTTATCTGGAGTAGATCACTGATTCTGCATATCTGAGGACGTTAAGTTCTACCGTGCACAATTTAAATTGTGGCATTTGAATACTACTGATGTCTTAAGTCTCTTGCATGATTACTTCAGGACAGCCATTAACTACAAAGACACTCATCTGTCAGCCAGCAAATGTTCCTGCTAGACCATGCTAATTTTACTAATATGTGCTGAATTCCAGTGGCTCTCGCTCTCTCTCTGGTATGTTTAGCTCGTGGTGTTTCAGTTTCTAGATTCCAAATGAATAATTCAGCCATCATCAAACACATATTCAGTGCATCTTTAAGTACGCATACGGCCGAGGAGAGCTCTTGATGAGGGTCCTGACTGAACATTTGTCCATGGAAGGGCTAATGGCAGCCAAAGGCCAGGCAGAGGGAGACCATGTATTTCAAGTAAACCATGCTGCCTAATTTAATCGTTAGCTGCATTCCAGGGTTGATTTGGTGAGATCTCTATCCCCGCTTCACCCCGCTCCCGATCTGTGTATCCACATACCAAAACACACAGATGCGCATCGAGACAGAGATCTACAGTCCTTCCACTTTATATGTTCAGCTCATGGTCTTATCAAGGTCTGCTTCTGCCACTTCAGTAAATAATTGATTAGACACTTTTGAGAAGGGGGTTAAAATTCATGTGCTAATTGGAGACCAGTAGATTCCAGTGGGAGGGATGACTTTTATCTTATGATGATGTGAACATAATTTATCAGATAATTTTATATTAAGTCGATTTGGTATAATTCTGTCTTTTAATGTCAGAAAATGTAGTTTTTAGATGTCCCTCATTAAATGTAATGTAGCTTAAAAATGTTTGAAAAACCAGCGAGACAATTTGAATTGGAAATGTGTCAGGGGCTGGCTGGGTTTTTCTGCTTGAAGATGACTCTCTCTGTCATCAGTTTTGAGTTTCTTTGGGGCTAGTTACTTTGGAGCTGTAGTGGAAAACATATCCGGAGAGCAATTGATTAATAAAGAAAAATGCAAGCTCGACTGCTGTGTTTTGATTTGGATCCCTGCTCTCCCCAGTCATAAATAGTGCATAATGACAAGTGTCAATGCTCGCTCCCCTTGAGTCGAAGGTCACATCTCAGCGATGGAGATTGCCGCTAGAGAGAGGTTCATGATTAGAGAGGGCAGGACAGATGAAAAAAATATTATATATTTATATTTTTACAAGTTCTTTAAATTATTGATTGACTTCCCCCAGTTGTCATATGCTAATGTCACTGAGCATCCAAATTTTTTGTTTCTCACTGAAAAAGGGCTGTGATGTGTTGCTGCTTTTCCTTTTAGGGGCTTATCAAATGCAAATTTTATCATCGCATTTCTCAAAAATAATTTCTCTTCACTTGCTGAATCCTTTACTCTCACAGGCAGACAAGGAGTTTGTGTGGTCTCTGTGGAAAAGGCTGCAAGTGGCAAATCCAGACTTGACCCAGGCTGTCAGTTTGGTGGTTGAGCGGTGAGTGGATTCATCTTTCACATTGCTACCTGAGAGGCTCAGCAGACGAACCTTCCCCTTATCTCGCAAGTGAAGAGAAGCAAGTGTGTGTGTGTGTGTGTGTGTGTGTGTGTGAAAGTCGTTCAAGGGGTGTTTAAAGCACCTTGGCCGTTCTACTGGGGTTATGACGGAATCTGGTGCAGATGCTGATTTAAGCCCTCTTATCCCTGGTCTAGCAGTTCAAACAGTGGAAACCCTTTTAATGAAAACACTCTTCCACTGCTGCTCACATGCTGGACAGTTGAAACAGTCCTGCCAAATACTTGTCTTTACTGGATAAATTGCGAGATTGAATATGACCTCTTTTGCAGGATGGCTAAGCTCCATTGAGAACAGTGGCATGGGAACTTGTAGGAAAAGACACATCTGGAGAAATGAATTGCGTTCCTCTTATGATTAAAAAAAAAACAAAAAACATAACGAGACTCTGATTTATCGCTGAAGTTTGAAAGCTGTTTATTCACGCGTTCCAGCTGCCATTAAATTTTGTGTAAAGCTTTATTTAGTACTTAGGTTTTACTGACTTTTTTCTTTAGGGGATACATTAAATCATATTTTCTTCCTCACTGGTGCACATCGCATACTTTTTGAGGTCTGTCAGTTGTTAGTAGACCCTTAATAGAGGTAAAAACACAGTGCAGCAGCAGAGTGCTCCTCAGTACCTGTGCCTCTCATTTCTACTCCACACCCACTTGAGTTCTTTATAGCCCCTTAGGAAACCCATCAAAGTGGGTTAGTCCGCTGAGACAGGTGGGGCAACATGCACCCAGAGAGTGTATGTGTATTGTATCACCTGATGCGCAAGAGGATATTGACATGGTAATTGTGTCGACTCCAGTCAAGCGCTGTCGTCCACTGGGAGCCGCCATTCATCCCTCCCTCCCCTTCCTGTGTGGATCTTGTAGAGTGATTGGTTGGATGCTCAGGACATGGTGAACATAGTCCAATATATGAGGAGATGCAGCTAGGCCTGCCTGCGTTCCTGCCCCCTCCAGGGACACCAGATACTTATTTCAGTGTGTACCAGGGGAGAGGGCTGATCAGAAGAGGCAAAGAGACGATAGAGAAGGCCTCAAAGACCCGAGGTGTAGAAGAAGCAGCTGATGAGCGGAGGGAACGGATGGTCCCCGGTGGTTCGGAGTAGTTGAAACAAGCAGGTCCCCAATTGCAGACTTGTTTGTGTCTCCGCAAAAGTTCATTATGATAAAAGAGGTAGTAGTGGGCTTGAGAGCTTTAAACTTTGCTGTATTGTTGCTCTGTAATTCTGCTTAAGTAGCCAGTGAGTAAAAAAAGTTTTTCTTTTCATTTTCTTACAGTTTAGCATTATTAAATATTAAAATAATGATGAGAACACTGGCGACATGTTAAGGCAAAAGAATCTTTTTTTGATGAGTGCAGCAGGTGATCAATAATTAAACATTTGGAGTTGAAACCGATAAACTTTTGTCCAAGAACTTGCCCTCTGGGGCAAAATTCAGTGTTTTGACCTTTCCAGAGTAGCCAGCAGATATTTGGAAAAGGGATTGTTGATATCTGGGCCAAGAATTTCCTTTTCCGTGTGTTCACAGTCGAACTATGAATGTAGATGAATTTTAAAAAAAAAGTGAAATCACTATCAGATGATAGCTCATGGTTTTCACCTGCATGCAGCCAATGCTCACTCATAAACTCATAAACCAGAGAACTTCCTATACTGAAAATCTCATTTGTAATGAAATCAATGAGTTCTTCATGCTTATTTTTATATGTAGCATCTGTTTATAGAGAAAAGTTAGAAATCAATGTGTTTCAAGCCAGTAAGATTGGACAGAATCTTGAGTGTAAGCTAAATAGTTAAAGCTATTCTCCTGTACGCTCTCAAGTCCTTAATCGTTGCTGACTATTTACACATGTATATTCTGTGTATTTACTCTTCCTTCTAGTGAGAAGCACAAAGCTGAGATTAAGGACAGGAAAGTGTTGGAGATCCTTCAGTCGAAAGACTACAAGATTCAAGAGTTGGAACAGGTATCATAATGTTTTCCTTAACCGGCTTTAACTTTCTAATGCAAACAACTTTTCTTTATGAACATCAGCAAGTCAGTTTCTTTTTTCGCTGCTGGCCTGCTGTCAGATCTGATCACAGGAATTCAAATTGTCACGACGCAGTTTAAATATGTTGAAAATGTTCAAAAAGTGCTGATGCACAAAACAAATTTACAGAGTTTTATGCAAAAACAAAAATCATCACACTTCTGCACACTCACAGAAGTGTGTGGCTGCTGTGATTTACATATCAAAGTAGTCTCTTTCTCCATTTTTCTCACACATCATTATGTTTCCTTGCGTCATATGATTATTATAATTAGGAAAAAAATATTCAAAAGGCGCCACTTTAATGAGTAAGGATGTCCTCACACTAAGCACGGTTACTTTGTACCCTGCCTGAGCACAATCACCTTCCCTGCCCACTTCCCACTGGCCTGTGCTGACACTGCCCTTAATGATCCGACCCAAGTTCACATCAGTTTGTCTCGGAGTGTCAACTCGTCTCTCTTTCTTGAAAAAGCGCTCTGGTAGTACACAATGGGCTCATGAGTGCTTGTGAATGAGCTTTTTATGAATATTGTGGCTACAATGGGGTTGTGGTGACACACTGCGCTCTCACGTGTTTATTAATGAGTTGGCAGAATGATTTCTAATGGAGACAGCTGCTACTCCGGAGTGTGCGTACATAGCAATCATGCTACATGCATACTGTGCTCAAGTCCAAATGAACTATGCCTGGGTTCTCCTCTAAGTGGGCCAGGGTACCGGCACATTACACACCACTTACACTAGTCAAGCAAACTTCACCTTAGGGGTCAAACTCGCTTGGCCACAGAAAGGATCAGTTAATGTGAGTGCCCCCTCAATCCTAGCACAAGACTTGAGGAACACATCCAGTACATATAAACCTAAAAATTTAGGTTTGGGTTTTTTTCTACTTTTTTCCCCCCAATAAGCATTGCAATAAGCCCATACCCTGTGTACATATTGTACACACACGTACATGTACAGCTTCAGTTTCCACGATTAACAAACTGCTCCCAAGTTCCTGCATCGTGTACTGAGCTAAAAGTTAGCTTACCCGGTGGTTGCAAACCAATTTTCCTTTCGAATGTAGAAGCACCACCAACCCTGACTTCACAACAATGAAACTGTAAAACCTGTAGTACTACCACAGTTATGTATTTGTGACTGACTAAATAAGCCATACACGAAACAGTGACCAGGCTCTGTCCTTGAGCATGCTGCTGGCATCTTTGTTGTTCTGCCAGCGATTGATGAATGGCTTTACCTTGGTAGGGAACAAAATAAAGCTTGTTTTCCCTTGTTTTTCCAACTGCTACTGGAATGCGCTCAACTTGGAAGTGACGTTGCTCCCAGCTCTGACATCCAACTTCTGCTGTAAAAGGAATGCAGCATTTATCTTCAGGCTGAGCTTGTGGTCATATGCCTTCATAGTTGACATTTAAGTTGCAGCCATTTCTAGTGGCTCTTAGTGAGTCTTTCACAGAAAGACAAAACAATCCTTGGGCTTTTTATTTCATTTTCACGGTCATTTTATTACAAACAAGCATTTTTGTCTTGCTTGTTTAACTGTCTGCTGAAACTTTCATTCATAAATGCCATAAAAATACAAATGAATACAAAATTATTATGCTGCTTTAATACTTCCCTTTAGATCTTTATCTTTCTCTCATACCTGCTTTTTTTGCTCTAACCCCTGAGTTATAGTTCTTGGTGGTATGATGGCTAATGATAATGACATCACTAATGTAATTTACTCCAAATCATCATCTCTTCACCGAAGCATCTGTCAGTCTCATTCATTAGTGTCCCTCACCCAGAATGGTGCTCATTCTTAATGAGACTGGCTGTAATGGAGTCATCAGCTTGCCAGTGCTTTTTGACATTACCCTCCTCAGCAATCATAATAGTTGCTCACTGGACCAAAAAGGTATATGATTATGGTGGACTTTTTTGTGTAACATTTGTACCTTTAAGGTATAAGTCATCATAGGTGACGACTCCATTGCTGTGTTTGCAAGCTTGGCACTTACAAGCAAAAACAAATACTACTTACGGCCTTCTGAATTATCCACGTGACAGTGTGACACAAGTTTCACACTGTTGAAATGCTTTACCCTAATATACAGACATTTGATGGATATCTAGATATCTATCAAATCTGATGGATACTTTTCGGTTATTTTTTAATAGACTGAATTGATGAGGTGGTAGATAGCTGCAAATCCATCCTGTGGGGGTGGGACTTAACTGTGCTCTGTGTCTTTCAACTGCTTTTTAAGAGCTATTTAATGAACTCATTCATTTATTACTCTCATTCAGTGTAACGCCCATGTCTCAGTTTATATGAGTTTTATAGGAGGAATCCCTTTGTTTCCAAAGCCTGTTTTGCTGTACTTCTTCTGAAAAGTTCCTTGATAGCGCCGCACTCTGTGCTGTGTCATCCAGCCCTCTGACAGTCATCATCTCATCTGCAATCTTAAGCCATACCCTCAGAGTGATTAATAGGTTTTCCTTCATTTTTCAAGGATGTGATGGTCTGCTGAGTCCACATAGCATCTCAGATTTTTTTTCTTAATGTATCAGTTCTCCCACTTTGATTATGTTTTTTTTTTGTTCTTGCTGGTTTTCTTTTTTTTTTTCTTTCACCTCTTTCTCTCTCTCTGCTTTTGTAACATAATTAGCGTTCATTTTTGAACTGTACTGGGAATTTTCAGACGCTAATCTTTCTGTCCTAGACCTCTTAACTTGGCGCAACCCGCTTCCCCTCCACCCTACTATTCTATCACTTGAGTGCTACTGGGGTTCAAATTGTTCTTCCCTATCTCATTATCAGCGTTTGAATTTATTTTCCGCTCTCCAGTATAAATCTATTAAAGCCCCACTGTTCTTAGCACGGCAAGCTAGGAGTTGCAAGGAACGCTAAATCCACTATCTGGATATATCTGAGCGATTTCCCTCAACATGGCAATTAATTGCATCCCAGAGCACGGTGTTATTTGAGAGAGGAGGGTGTACCCACAGAAGACTGTGGATTACCAGCCAATGCCAAACCCCAGCTGATACAGTGTTAAGAAGCCAGCCTCCTCCCACTAAGGCCATAAAGGCTGCCAAAAAACATGAAGTAAACATATAAAAAGTGGGTGGTCATTACTTTACACTATCGCTTGTTTTAAGAGCTGAAGCATTTAGTCTATTCATTGATTGTCAGGTTAGAAAATTAATGCTGATAATGTTTTTCAGCCTTTCTTTTGTCTGTACACTTAATACTTTGGGGTTTTGGACTGCTGCAAAAATATGACGTTGAATGGCATGACCTTAAGCTCCAGGAAATTCCAACAAGCATTCACTCATGCTTTGTAGATCTCATGAATAGCTCATTAATCAAGGCCAATTGATTATGAAAGCAAATATAAAAGTGATAGTCTTGTTGTTTTGTTACAACATTTTTAAAAAATGAAGGTTAAAAAAATGCTATGCCTAATGTAACCTGTAGTTTTTTGGGGTTTTTTTGTTCTTTCTGTGTCACCCTGATTGCCACAGAGAGTAACCGGGCAGCAGCAGGAGATTAACGGCTTGTTACAAAGGAGGACGGCGGAAGAGGAGAGTGATTTAATGAAGAAGGAGCTGACAGCGCTGCGTGAACAACTGGTCAATAAGAGTCAGGAACTTGAGGTTGGTGGAACAAATTTTCTGTGGCAGTCGGGGCTTCTGCTTTCAAAACTCTCTCTTCTGCGTGGCACGACAAGTCCCCCGTGGCCTTAGCCTCGGGGGTATGAATCATTTAGAAGAGAAAGAGGATTGTTCAGCCCTCTTGAATGCAATCTCAGTGTCTTTGTGTCTTCTTCTCCTGTCTCCACCCTCGCTCTGTCTCACCCTTTCTTGCTTTCAGCTTACTTTCCCGCTACGGACAACAGAGAATACTTAACAGCTGGAAAGTCTGCATGTGAGAAAGAAAGCGCGAGCCAGAGAAAAGCAGGTTGTTAACTTGCAGATAAATACTTAATGCCTCCTTCAGTGGGGGGAAAGTGAATAATGTGCATGCGATGGTGTGGCTTCTGCCTAATTATGCTTAGATGGGACATGGCTATGATTAATTGATAAAGGGATGGTCCTTACACAGTCTTGGTGGGGTCTCGTGGTGAGAAATCGTGGGGGACAGCATCAAAGGAGACCTAGGTTGAGTCTAATGGGTTTTGTAGCTAGCACCATTCTCATTAGGAGCCTGTCATTAAGGCTGGCAGACTGGCCCCTGTACCTACGTGAGCCCAGTTCTTGCAGCACGGCTCGGCCAACACCAACCAAACGCTGGCCGCGTGGGTCCAGTCATACAGCACAGGTGACCTTGGCCAATCAGCGACCCATGCAGTGGGCTCCCGCAGAAAAAGCCGTCCACTGTTTACATATTCATTTCAGCCTCAACCCCGTGGGCTGCTTCTCTTTTTGGATCTTTGCAGTTTTCTTTTTTCATTTTCTCAGTTTGAAATGCTACTTTTTCTTTTTCTCTTCTTTCGTCGCCATTGTTTATTTGGCCCTATTGACCCCCTCCCCATTCTACTCCTCACACACACACACACACACGCCTTCCTTATTCAGGAAATGAAGACAAAATGTAGGAGGAAAGAGGAGGAGGAGCGGCAGGTGGTGCATGCTCTAGAGGAGGAGAAAGAAGGATTAGCTTCCCGCTGCGCCGCCCTGCAAGCTGACCTGGAGGAGAATCAGAGGCAGGCCAACAGCCAACGAGACCAGAGGGATACTGCCCAGACCAGAATAAAGGTATGAATGTGGGGACAGGTCCACACAAATACAAAGGCACTCACACACACCTTGAACTTTCTGATCCCTCACACCCTATCCTCTTCAGCTTGTGAATATAAAAAGATCTCTGTAGCAAAGCACAGAATTAAATAAACAGGGACTGCACTCAAAGGAAGGACAAAGTTATGATTTAACATAGGGCAGACAGATCTTCCTGAGTTGTGGTTTAAAAAAGAAAGAAAGAAAAAGAAAAACACGAATTAAGCAGACCAAACCGAAAGTAGCTTCCATTAAGTCATTGGCCTGTTGGTTCAAGAGTTTGTGGTCAGGTGTGTTTCATTATCCAAATGCAAGCAAGTAACTTTCAGAATCTGTTGCTCTGATCATCATTATGGATCGGTGCTTCTTCTCTCTGTGAACATGAAAATTCGAGAAGACATCAACTGTGCTATTGTTTAAACATTCAACCAATCAAATTGCAGTTCTTGAAAATTGTATTTATTTATTTATTTTTTTACATTTCAAATTTTATTTCCTAGATTCTCAGGAAGTAAAAGCTACAGAAGAACCTCACATTCCTCCCCTTCCTTATCGACTAATCATTATGAAACATATTGCTCCCCTAGTCAAATGGAATCAGACAGAGAGTCTTGAATAAGTTAGAGCTGCAGAGTAATTACTCTTGGATGGGATGAGCCCAGTGACTAGTGTATGCACATCCATCACAGCCTAAGACACTCCACTTGTTTTATGATTTTTTATTATTTTCTGTGTCATACATTGATTTGAAACTTGGTGATGGAAAATATCAGATGCGCAGGGGATACATCACGCCAATTTGTTTGACATGGCAAAGATTTATTCGGGAATTTATCATTTAATGTAGACCTGTGTGTACTGTTAAGATACACCTGCATAGTTTTAGTATTTTCTTAACTTGAACAGCGGTGGAGGAATATTCTGCAAATACAGAGATGTAAAGATGTGTTATACGTGAAAAAAATGTGACCGATATAATTATATAATAATTTATAATAATTTCTTATAGCATTCGTCACATAATTTGCTTGATATTAATTAGCGTCGGATGAATTCAGGGTTTGGTGACCTGTACATGTTTGATGTTGTTTAATCTGCTGCAATTAAATGTTTTTTTTTTTTTAATTAAAGCAAAGCTAACTAACGCCTTGTCTGCACCTCCTATATACAAAGAAACAGCACAAAAGCACAATGAAAACATTTTCAGATCGACTGTCATGTTAGAACTAAATCTAAATTTTGCTATTCGATTACTTCACAGCAACTAGTACGGCTAGTTGCTGTGAAGTAACAAATTGTGGCCGACTTATTACAAGTGTTAAAGAAGGCATCGTAATTCAGGGCTAAGAAGTGAGACCTAGTTTCCTTGCTTTTCTGTCACTTTTTAAATTTCAGAATCATTTATTTGTTTATTTGTAGACAGACAGTCAAAGTAATGTGACAAGTGAATTATTTTAAATTTCATTGCAGAGTCAGTAAATGAAACGATGCTGGTCTGCGTTGGTTTGAGGATTTTGCCATAGAAAATAAACACTGACAAAGTTGACGTAATAATTCTAATACTTAAAGCATTTCATTTAAGGATAGCCTCTAAATTTGACAAAATCATTGTTATTACTCTTCTACACCAGGATCTAGAGGAGAAACTGCACAACACCTGTCAGGAGCTGACTGCCTTGCAGAGCCACAGTAGCAGCCTAGAAGCTCTGCTTTCCTCCAAAGACACAGAGTTGGCAACTAAACATGAACAACTTGATCACCTTTGGTAAGTTGTACCAGCTGAGATAGTGTCTCTGTTCTTGCAACATCCAAACCCTAATAGGTGATATTTATGGCTAATTTCATTAGTTAAAGTATAATTCTGTCCGCTATAGACGTACTATATGTGTATACCTCGATTTACATGGGTTACTGCATGGAGGAGTGGGTATATTGCTTCCTTCGCTGTGAGGCTTGGGGGTGACACAGATTTCTTCCACTCTGGCCCACCTAAAGCCACTTGATAAGCCCTGCATAGTGGATATGCTTTAAAAGAGAGAGAAGAGGGAAACAGGGCAGGCTTTGGCTAAGCTTTAGTCGATATGATAAAAACTGTGAGAACTGTAGGAGCCTTAGTGGTAATCTCAACCTTTTTTAACTACTTTTCTGTTTTAATGCCAGAGGCAGTCTGACATGTCAGTCACACCAGGGCTATAGACTATTCTTGTGGATTTAGCAGGGTGATTAAAGATTTCCTTACAAGTTTGAGAAGCGCTTTGTGGTAATTCCATTGGTGGATACTAAACAAGATGGAAATGACCTTTTGGTGCTGATGAATTTTGGTATGTTGAGAAATGTAGCTGCTGTTGACGAAAGAAGGAAATCTGCTGTCATAAATACATTACAATAATGTAATGTGCATACAACTTTATGATTGTTATTGCTCTATAGTTTTGTTGTGCATTTAGGCATTGATGATGATAAAGGCTTATGAATTTGAGTTGCATATTTATCAAAAGTTAGACTTTTACAGCTGTAACACATGTGCTATTGTCTTAAAACCCAAAAGGATTAAAACTGAGTTAATTCAGGTTCTCTGGCATACTTGTTTAAATAGTTATTTTAATATCAGTACACGCCCTTTATGTTTCTCACCTTGAATACGTAGTTATAGTTATATAAAAAAATATAACTAAATCCACAATATTTAATGTAAGCAGCACATTATTGTTGTGTACTGTATGACTTTGCATAACCTGTAATGCGAGTGCCTGTGTGTAGTCGTGATTTTGCAGAAGTGCAGACGCTGTACAGACGGAGCACAGAGCATGCAGCGGAGCAGAGCCACCTGATTAAGCAACTGGAAGGACTCAACCTCGACACACAGCGAGTTCTGCGGAACCAAGAAGAGGCTCACTCTGCTGACGCTACCTCCTATCAGCAGGTACTCACAAGTACACACACACACCCAACCTCAAACTCAACAGTGTTATAACCTCTTCATCGCGCTTCACTCAGGCCTCACCAACTGTGGTGATTTATTTCCAAGCTAGCTGTAACCTACAATTATTTTTGTGTCTGCCAGAAAATCATTTTTTCTCGAAGTCTCCTGTTACTGTGACTGGGTTTGCAGCATACTACTTTGCCATGCACGTGGAGGAATCATAGAGAAAGACATTTTGCAAACATAAATCATTTGGGACACGTGTTGTTAACAACTTCTTTTCCCTATTTAGATTATTTAGCTTATCCTAATTTTTCTATTACTGAATATAACAGTCTTAATGTCACCTAATGAGTGGTTTTTGTCATTTTTCTCCCATCGATCTGACCCTTCCATTCCCTCTTGCTTGGATTTTAAACCTCTCTGGCTTATATATATTTGTTGACAGCTATACAAAGAGTTGAGTCAGTGCTACCAGGCTCTCGTGTCTAGTGAGGCCAAGCTCCGCCAGAGTCACCAGGAGCTGAGCAGCCAGCTGGCGCAGAAAGACCAACAGATCTTAGAACTCCAAGCTGGCCTACAACAGCAGCAGCAGGAACAAATACAACTTCAACAGGAGCTGCAGCTGCAACAACAGCCTCAGCTAACAGCCATTTACCCCTCTCCTCAAAAACAAACCAACTTTAAGGTAAGGACTATTCTCATTCTTCACTATGTCTTCCAAAAAGGCCTTAATGATCAAATGCATAAAAACAATCTTAGCATAGCAAGTATGCCAATCTATGATACACATTTGTTTCACAACAAACACATTATAGTTTGATAATTCTGTCAATTGCTTGCCTGGACTTAATATCTAATTGTCCCAAGGTACAGAGATGTCAACGTGTAGGTGGACCTGCAGGCACAGTAATAACTGACTGGCCCCAGCATGGCCTGTGGTGGTGGTCTTTAACTCAGAATCATTCGTTTGATATTGCTCTAGTTCACCCTTGATCTATCCATCTCTCTGAGCACCAGTGTCTTTTATGTCCGCTATCTGATCTTCTCTCACCGCCAGTCCTAGGCATACGCGCACTCTCTGAATAACATACTTTAGATATCGCCTTTCTCCCCTCCCACCCAAGTAACTGGAAGTCCTTTTAACACACGCGGGTCAGACAGCAAAGCCACGTAAGAGGTGGAGAGAGGTGATTTAATTGGAACTCCATAATGTTTTTGAAGATGATGTTAGAGTTACAATTCTACATCTGTCAGTCAGCGGGACTTTGGCTTTAGCGTTGTGCCTTTTGAACCAATCGCCCCCAAGGCAATAGAGGCCTTTAGTAACTGCTAACGATATGACGATAGGTGGTAGACCACACAGTGTCAGACACTTAGTTGGGGAAAAAATTAAAATCTTGAGACACTTTATTCCATCAGCAGTTCTCTGGCACACCACTTGACATTTTAAGGAGCCTCTCGGTCTCTTCTGCTCTACGACTTACCATTCCAGTTTCCTCCTTCAGATAACTCCATTTGATGCAGCACAAGACAATATTTTTGCAGCAGCGAAGAAATGTTTTTCTGCCTCCGCAGCGTTTAATTCGTTAATTTGATTGGCTGATTTTCTGAAAGTGCTGCTCCCAGACTGTGCAAGTTAGAAGATATCAGTTCAAATGTTAAGTGAGTTACAATGAACCTGTCTCACTTAACCCTCTTAATTTAACCAGCGGTAAAATATAAATGGATCATTTAGTCAGTAATTAAATACAGTACTGTAGTGTTCCCACAGTAATTAATACTACATTTAGAGTAGATGCAGTTAGTGCTCTGTGTGTGTAGTGTGGGCACATACACTGACTGGCCACAACATTAAAACCACTGACCGGTGAAGTGAATAACATCGATCATCTCGTTACAATGCAGTGTGCTGCTGGGAAATTCTGGGTATTTATGCAGATGTTTTTGGGGGCTTTTAATTTTTTGTGTGTCATGCACCATTTTAAGGCAGGTAGTTTTATTGTGACTTACTGATATATGTGTGCATGTTTTCTTGTCTCTTACAGTGAAAAGTCAGCTCACACAATTCTCAGGGCTGGGACATAATTAGAAAAAAATCATATATATAACCAAAGCTAAGAATAAATGATAACTTTTGTTTACCGAACACATGTAGCTGCTGTCTGGCTGATTTGTTTTTTGTAACTTTCTTACCCGCCGACATCAAAGTGAACAGATCAGGTATCCCAAGGTATAGCGCTCAGTCAGGAGGGTTTTCTATTTCCCACTCTCTAATTTCACTGACAGGTTATGCGTACGTGTGGGTACGTCTGTCTTCATAGTTGTGTGTTTGACTGAAGGTGTGTGTGTGTGTATCCGAGCACATAATCGCGAATTCTGTAACAACTTCCTCCCGAACACCTGTTAAATTCAAATGCTCGGGTTGTTAAGGCAGATTTGATTTTAATTTTAAATGTTTTGGTGGAAGTTACTATTGGAGGTGATCAAAGTACTGATCGCAACAGGAGCACAGGGGGGGAGACACAGTGCTCATTTGAATATGGACCGGAGCGACGGCTTTGAACACCCCACCCGCAGTGGTTTTTGGTGGGGGCGGGGATAAAGGAGGGGTTGGGGTGAGAGGAATAACACCTATTGTGTGTTACATTTCCATGCCGCGCACCAGGATTGTGCGTTCTCGCTTGTCTTATGCAAAGTTAACTCTTTACAGGAAGCTGAACAAGACTTTACAAAGGCTCAAATGTGGGCAGTGTGTGGCGTGACCACACAGCTCAACTCATTTTAATCAGGCTGGTTTCTACTTGAATAATGTAAATCTATTATCTGTTAAATCTATTTTTGTTATTTATCCACAAATTAAAATATAAATACTACATCTATCAGTCTGTCTCTCTAAGATCTATGTTTGTATGTAGATAGATTGTCACCATTTTTTAGTACATCAAAAGTCAGCTAATTGCTCCTGTGCTTAGGTAGTTGTCCAGTGTGTGGGTATTTGCCTGTGTTTGAGTTTATAAAGTGGTGCAAACATCTCCATGTCAGGCTGTAGATGGCCCGATGCCCTGATCTTCTAGCTTTAGGGCCTGGCTGATCATCAGGCACCTGGATGACCTCCATGCACAACGAGCTGCTGTGAAATTGCCAGGTTAGGGAGGCTTGGGTTGCCAGGTTGGGTGGTCACCATCGCAATCTAGATGCAAAGCAGGCTCCCTCATTAGCGGACAGAAAACTAGCTAGTCTGAACATTTCATTATTCAGAAGCGTTTAACTGCATCGTTTGTATTTACTGTAGTTTAGTTAGAGTTTGGCTACTATCAGAGCCGAGCTGTGATTAAAGACCAACATTAGAATCCACAGCAGACCTCAGGCTTTCTGGAATCATCACCGCAGTAAATGAGTGGTAAGTTGTTAATTATGTGGGCAGTCATTCAAAGCAGTGGTTACTCTCTCATCAACATTGGAAAGAGAAAATTAGGCATTCACATTCAATCCAGAAAAGTTTGGTCTAAATATAATGGGAAGAAGCACCTGTGTCTTTTGAAATGTTTACTGAAACTTTTTTTAATGGCCTATTTAAAAAAACAAAACAAAAACCCCCCATTTATACAAGGTTTGTGTTTTTTTTTCTTTTTGTTTGCTTTGGTTTGTCTCATTATCTCAATAGGACAACAATAATGTTAACATAACACCTGTGTTTTTTCTTTAAACTATGTCTATAGACATTTGAATGCCGCTTTATTATAATGATATATGAAATGCAGTAAGGTCTCATACTAAGCCTGAAGCACAGAAATAACATTTAGAGACATGACCGAGCCTTCCCCCCCCTGTTTTTTTTTAATATACTGAATGAACCCCACACGTTGCATCTCCCTTATCTTGCTGAGATCATTTTTTAACATCTGCTCCTGGGTTTTTATTAATGTTGGCTAATTTAAACGCTTTTAGATGTGTAATTAAAGTGCTAGTGAGACGCTCACACGTGCATAAATTTATACACCCACCGTTTTTGTCAGGTCACCTTTGGCTTTGGTGAGGCATTTCTTTTGATCATCATCATCATTAATGGCAGTCATCGGCTGAAAAGGGTGAAAACATAATGCCACGAAGAAATATGAAATCAGCTTTCAGCTAGAAGTTGAATAGACACTCAAAAAGGCATGAGAATGAGTTTAGTATGTTGTCCAGCTTGTCTCAGTATTGTAATTTTTATTTCTGTATTTTTAAGCACTTTGCAGACCTTGGATTTTTAATTTCTTAGATTTTGTAGTTCTCTGTAAAATAACACAAGGATTAAGGAATGCCAAATGTTAGTACTATGTTGCACCACATAAGAAGTGTTTTGCAATATATTGTCAATATTTAAGTCAATTAAATATTGACAATATATTGCATTTCCCAAATGAAAGATGGTAAACTGAACTAAAGGTATTGTGGTGATGTGAAAAATGGCTGACAGCAGGGTAAAGCAAATCAAAAAGCAGGTTTATAAAGTGGTGCAAACATCTCCATGTCAGGCTGTAGATGGCATGACGTCCTGATCTTCTAGCTTTACATTGCATTTTAAAATGAACGCAATAAAGAAATGTGTAAGTGAGTATCAAAACTACTGTATAATGATAGCATTGCTATTGTGGGGAAGGTATCACGGTAGTACCAAATTGCTACGATATTGCTAATCCTAATAAGCATGAAATTAAGTTCAATTAAAATAAGGAGAGAGGAAATAAGTTCATATATGAATTTAGCTTTGAATGTTCATCATTGTACTTTGTGAAAATGTGATTGAAGGCACAGGCCTTGTTTTCATTCATGCTACAGTCACAATGAGGAAAACGGTGACTGGAGACCATATTGCAACCAAAGTTATTGCAACCAAAGTTATTGCAACCATGTGCAATGAACTTGCAATCTTGTTGCCTTCGAAATGGTTGCTTCGAGGCAGACACTAGGTCTATCACCACTTGCAGTCAGTTGGAGTCTTCAAAGCGATTTTGGTGCAAGAGACAATGAGACAGAATCAGCCTGCTAAACGGAGTCAAGTGGGCAATTATATGCAATCTGTGACAAAATAGTGATTAATTGGGATTAAATCTGTGAATATATGTCTACTTTATTACTTTACTTTAACTACTTAGAACAGCCTCAGCTTATGGGCAACCAGTTGGTCAACGCAACAACTTTCAATCAGTCTAAGACAGCAAAAACAATTCACTGCTTTCACCGAGCAACCACCGGTTTTTTCCTAGGCGCAAGGAGTCTCTGTCCTATTTTTGCTCTAGTGTGACTGAGCCATTAACACGAATGCCCTTCCTTTAACTAAACTCGCAGGACCTACTTTAAAGTATATTAATCTTTATTGTAAACACGTGGCTGTATTCACACGTTTCTTTTTTCATTTGAATTCCATTAATGCTTAAAATGCATTTTTTTGTCAGTGACTAATGTTATGTGTGCTGATTGTATTATCACTAAATAGTATTACCTACATGAGTTTGAGTTTTGGGTGTGTATTAGTAGTAAATATTGTTGTCAACATGTGTGTGTGTGTGCGTGTGAGTGGGTGGGTGAGTGTTTGGAGCTGGCCCACGTCCAGGGCCAGAGACATACTAATGACATAGATGCCAGTGGTGTGTTTTACAAGCTCAACTGCTCTCATTAGATGAGAAACTCTGTGTAGCACAGCTCGCCTCATTAATGAAGCACAGCCATGTGCCGCTGCAGAGACATACACTCACTCGTTCTAGCACATACACCCGGGTCAAACAGACTGTGTGGGAGGACTCAGGGCTGGGTACACACTCCGAAAACATACACGCACCTACTTCCTACTCACTGTGTGCCGTCCTTCTATTAAGTCCCCCTCCACTGCGCTGCCAGTTAAAACACACACTCATCCATCTATGCACAAAGACACATGCTCTTTGAAGACTCACCATCTTGAATACAAAGTGCACCAGGCCTGAGAGTGCACTGCTTAAAGTCCTCACTTCTCAGGCCTATCCAATCACTTTCACATATGCTGTCGTTCCATTCATTCTATTCGAATGCGATTGTGTGAGCATGCGTTTGTGTATCCATGCAGTGAGTGGCTTTGGGTGTGTGCGTGTGGGTGGGGAGCCCCTCCTGATTATAGCTACTCCATAATTAACAGTGATCAGATTTGTTTTGTGGCATAAATGGTGCATGTGTAGAACATTAGGCCTGGCAAGTCTCATTTCACATTCAGCTCAAGGGCTCGGCAGCAGACGGGTCACGAGCTTCAGGGAGCACAATCACAAGCCTCGCTCCATATGGTCCTGCCTGCCGCATCCTCACATGTGAGGGCCGCCAGTGCCAGACAAGTTCCCCCAAGAACCTAATCGTGTTCAGTAATTACCAAGACCGGCTTTTCTCTCTCTTTTTTTCCTCCTCCCCTCCCTCCCTCAGCCTCCTCCCAATCTCTTGCTCTTTTTATTTATTTTTTTCACCACACCTGCATGCTCTCTTCTCCTCTGTCAATCTCATGCTCCCGTGCCGTCTCTTGGTTTACTCTAAGCTACGTGTAATCTGTTTGTCTTTTTTTTTCCGTTTATATATATTGTTGCTCTTTTAACGGCTTCCCGGCTTTCCTGTTTTCCGCTGGATGAAAATCAGGAGGGCGACGAGAGAGAATTCGCGAGGAAGAAAAGTCAGACGCTCCCGCATCAGTTAATTTCTAAATTGCTTTATGTGGCTGATGCCGAAAAACGCACTCCATCCTCCTGCCTGCCTGGAAATTATAAATAATTGTAACAGATGCGCCAATATGGCCGGCCTCCAATAAACGAGGCCCCAGATAATTTGACCAACCCCCTTTGACAGGCCAATTTAATAAAACATGAACAAAATCTTCCTCACTAATAATTTATCATCCCCTCTCCTCCCCTTTGGTTAAAGTTGATTACCCTGGCAGTTAACAAGGTCACGCCCAGATGCCAGGTTTCTGATAATGCAATCAGGACTTGTTGGAAAAAAGGTGATGACATCCTGTGTGGTTTTCTTCGCAACTTGGCCTCCCAGTACAACACGGTGGTGAAGGCCTTTGTTTGTCAAAGAGCTTCAATTTGATGTGTTGAGTCAAAGTGTTGTTGATAGCAGCAGGTGAAGCTTTTCTTTTCTCTTTAGTTTCACACTTTGTCTTATTAGCGATTTAAGAAAAGGCGTGAATATGTGCAGGTGATACAGTCAAGAGGTATGTGGATGAGTTTTTGAACTATAAAAGGGCTTGTCTGACTTGATAAAAACTGCCTATACAGCACGTGGCCTTTTGGCAGTGGATTAAAAGTCATGCTGTCCTTAAAGCTATAACATCTTTGCACAAAAACGCACACTCAGCATAACAACACAACAGTAGCTTAAGCGTAGAGATTAAAGTTTGAGTGACATGGGCAGTTTGAAGGTGACAGTTGTTGCCCTGTACATACAGAAACCCCCTCTGGTTAGTCTTGATTGTGTTAGTATTTTGTCCCAAAGTGTCTCATTATACACTTTTTTCCGAAATAGTGGAGCTGCTGGTTAATTATCTCTTGACTAGATGAGATATCTGGGTGTTGACTGCAGTGAGCTAAAGTTGCCATTCTTTTTAACTACATGGTGGACAAACTGTTATCACATTTGTAACGCAATGCAGTACATGACTGCTGCAAGTACACAAAGAAGATTAAAGATTTAAAACATTATTTTAAAAAAGTGTTTTTTACAGTGGAAAGAATTAAAGGCAGACTGTATTCTGCTTTGGTTAAGCTTAAGCAAACTTTAAACTGAATTAAGCAATAAAAAAATACATTAGCCTGATATTGGTTCATTAATAGCTTGCTGTTAATTTAAAGAGAACATATCCATTTTATTAAGTACACCTTGCTAGTATGTGTTAGATCCTCTTTATCCTTCAGAACTGCCTTAATTCTTTATGGCATTAATTGTATAAGGTGCTGATATTTTGATATTTGTCTGAAACTTTGGTCCATATTGACATGGGAGCATCACACAGTTGCTGCACATCTTTGATGTGAATCTCCCGTTCCACCACATCCCACTACTAGCCTGAAACATTGATACAAGGCAGGATGGATCGATGCTTTGATGTTACTTATGCGGAGGTCTGGCCCTACCATCCCAGTGTCACAGTAGAAATCAAGACCCATCAGACCAGACAATGTTTTTCCAATCTTCTATTGACAGTTTTGCGGAGCCCGTGCGAGTGGTAATCTGAGTTTTCTGTTCTCAGCTGACACAAGTTGGACCCAGTGTGGTATCCCATTTCCTTCAAGGTTTGTCATGTTGTACATTCAGAGCTGCTCTTCTGTATACCTTGGTTGTAATCCAATCGATAAGGTGGTTAATTAATTTGCCTTCTTATAAACTTGAAGTAGTCTTTCTGTTCTTCTCTAGTGTTTTTGCCCAGATAACTCCTGCGTAGTGGATATGTTCTCATTTTTGGACGGTTTTCTCTAAGCCCTAGAGATGGTTGAGCAGCCAAATCCCCATAGATCATCAGATTCTGAAATACTCAAACTAGCATGTCTGCCACCTTGTGACATTCAAAGTCACTTATATCACCTTTCTTCTTCATTCTGATGTTCGGTTAGAACTTCAGCATGTTGTCTTGAGTACGTCTACATGCCTGATTGAATTGAGCTGCTACCATGTAATGGGCTGATTAGATATTTGCATTGACAAGCAAATATGGTTAAGTGGGTGTGTTTGTTACGGCTGAAATACTCAACTTTGAGGAATAACATGGATAATATTTTTAAATTTCCGGACATAAGCATGACAAAATAACAGCTGTCACCAAACCAAGGCTCTGTTTTCCATCAGCCTATCTTAGTCGTCTCTTTTCAGCCTTTCAAGCACCAACATATGCGCCATCTCTTTTCTCACAGGCGCTGGCGTCAGAGCAGGTTGATGCGGTAGCCCAGAAGTCTAGCCCTGACCAGGCCTCTACTCGAGGTTCATGTCCCAGGCCAGAGGGTAGTACTTTCCATCAGAGATCTGCCAGCTCCATTAGAAGACAACAGGTAGGTCAGAACATGCTTCTGGTAATTATGTCAAAGCCAACACGTGGATGAGCAGCTAACATACCCTCACTTATCCATTACTGTTTTGTTCAGATTAGATCAAAGCCACAGAGAAGGGATATAAAGGAAACTGTCTTTCTAGAATCATATGATTTATCAGACCCAGCCCCTGCCAACCTTTGTCCTGAGCTTCCCAACACACACACACAGATGCCCCTCCTACTGTGACCAAGCCGGCGTGTGCTGCTGGTTTCACGCATGCCTTGGGCTCAGGCACTGGCTAATTTACCGCTTCAGCAGTACATTATGAACAAGAAAGAAGCTTTTGATCTTCTCAGTATTCAACTCATAAGTTTGGCAGGACATGTTTCTAGATGGCCTCACTCACTCTAAAGCTGGCCCGAAGACACGTTGTTTGATTTAAGCCGCTGTCCTCATTGTATCTTAAACCGAAGCGCTTCTGTTCTGGCAGTCTATTTGTGTAATGTAATTATACCGTGCAAAATAAATAAATAGTATTGACATTTGATGAGCTTCCTTTATGCTTGCCTTAGGGCACACAACTCACAAACACATAATTGTTGTACTATCCACCTATAATTCATTATCAAAAACATGCGCCAATGTTGATCCTGCTGCTGATATCCAAAATCAGTGTGTAAATACTTTTTTTTTGATATTCTATTATACTGACTAATAACGTGAATCATAATGAGATCTACTGAATGGAAATCGGGGCATTTGTCATCAGTTTCAGTAAAAGTCAGCTTGGCTTTTCATTTATTATAAATGCAATCCTGCCTGTCACTGCCTCTGACCACACATTTACTGTGTGTTATACATACGTTTACAAATGAGATTTTAATGCAGGCACATGATCATATTAGAGCTGCCGCGCCAACATTTACAGAAACAGATGTCAGATGAAAGATGGAGAGCTTTAAATTGAACTAACTCCTTTAAATGAAATAAAGTTATTATTTAACTGAATGAAATTTAAGATTGATGCGTTTTATTTTCTGAGTGGCGACTACAAAGTGGCATCTTTAAAGTGGCATTCTTTCACATAGCACAGTGGCACGTTCACGTCTCTCAGCTAGTAGCTATAAGAACTCCGGTTATTACTTTAAAACATGTAAACTTCATAAAACATGTCCAGCCTTACTGTAAATCTTGAATAATTTCTAGAAGCACGATGATGGTCCAAAAAAACTATAAACTTTTTATGCCTCATTACGATTCATACCACTCCATTTAAACTGGAATAACAAACTGGAAGGTCAGCAGCTGATGAGACGAGTCTTCTGTTCAGCACACTGTTTCCCCCTTGGAATCAGATTTCTGCTATTTTACTCAATGCCCACAGTGAAGTGGGATTATTGGCTACGTCTATAAACAGTGCAGAGTGGTGCATGTCCGACTGTGTTGGGTGCATGCAGTAAGTGTTATAATGATGTTAGCCATTAAAAAACAAACAAACAAAAAAACTATGTCTCAAGGAACTTGAGAGACTTGGTGTGTGTGTGTGTGTGTGTGTGTGTGTGTGTGTGTGTGTGTGTGTGTGTGTGTGTGTGTGTGTGTGTGTGTGTGTGTGTCACATGATTTGAGTGAAGAAAGTTTACTTTGATGTGGAAAATTAGATTTGAAAGACCTCATGAAAAATTGTATTTTCAAGTTCCAAACTGTTTAGAGTTTTTATTAGAAACAACACTGTGAATTGCTAACATTATACAGAGTGGACCATTTTTCAGCATGATTTACTTCAAGTTTGAGCTCAAACTTGAGCATTTGTTTTTAAAGTTTGCTTAGTAACAGTGCTCATTTGTATGTATAGTCATCAGGGAACGTGAACACATTTAATTACTCTCCAGATGCACTCATAACAGGCTAGTGCAATCATAAAGAAACCCATTGATGACAGTGACTCAGTGTCTCTGTCAGATAGAAAGTGGAGGAGAGGTGAAGGGAGGCGGGCACTCAGTGAAATGATTCTTTCCTCTGCTGATTCCTCAGTAAATCCGGTTTTTAAGTTACAGACCTTTTCCCTCATTTCCTTCCTACTATGTGCCCTCTGTCCCTCCTTCTGCGTTGCACTCTCATGTTTACAAAGCCATTACAGGGTGTTATACACAGGTCAGGCCATGACCACCAGACAGCTGCCGAACTGAGGTAAATGTCGAGGACAGCCTTCTGTGTCTCGTGTTCTCTGCTTTTTATCCTTCAGGCCTGTCTTGTGGAACATTAACATCAATGCCGCAACACAGAGCTTCCCACACAAATAAAGGGCATTCATGCGTCTTCGGGTCCAGCAGCAGTCAGGCGTCCAACTGGACCAGAGAGAACATCTGCACCAAAATGTCAGTCATTAGTCAGTGTCACCATTTTATTAATTTACCGTGGACTTTAGACAAACACGCAGCAGTTTGTCTCACGTGGTTCTCACCTTCATTAATAATTACTGTGATCAGGTTAAGTAGTAAATATCATTCACAATTTATATTTCTACCTGAAACCCAGTTTAGAGTTTGTCTGCAGTATGTCATGCACTTTATAATTGCTCATCTTTACTTTTAGGTTTAGGACTTTGAGTTGGTTTGGATTCCCCTTTTGGAATCTGTGTTTCCCCCTTGTACAGACAGACTAAGCCAGTTGGCCTGCCACTCATCAGGAATATGCAGATCAATCTGCTAATTAGTTGCATAGAGTCATTAAGGCTGAGTTAGAACACATGGTTGGCACCCATGCAGGCATGTTAGCAAAACCTGGCCGCCAGGTCACTGGAGTCAACTGTAGCCTCAGAGCACATTTCCCAGCACACGTACATCGTGTATATATTAATGTCACAAGCAGATGTTCTGTTTTAAATACACATTCTGTGATGTTAAAACTAAAGGAAATGTGTTATACAGTAACTAATTAAGTGACAAATGCGTTTTTTAAGTTACAATAAAAAAAGTCTTAATGTCTAATCACTTTCTTTTAAACATGTCAATTAGCATTTTGCAGCAGTTGCTATTCACTGAACAATATCTGCTGTCTGTTAGTGTCCTTCTAAATAGGTGAAGTTCGCCCTCATGTGAATGATTTGAGTTGCAGACCCATACACAAGGGATTCATGAGGAGCAATGCAAAGAAAGAAGAGTCCATTGTTTTCATGTATTCCATGTTGCCATGTAACAACATTCAATCATGTGTTATGAATTATCATGCAAAAATATTTTTTTCACTCACTTTTGAGAGTGGAGAGTTTTCAGGCAATGTTATTTTAAAGTTTGCCAAGCTGCTTTGTGAGCACATGTACAAGTTGCGCTATTTGTTGTGCTGACAGAGTAAGGTGTGATTTGGCTTCTGCAGGGAATCTTTGACATATCCTACGTAAATGACTGACGTTGTTGCCTGCATTTATGTTTGAAACAAATAAAATGTCAGGACTTTTTAAAAACAGCCGTCAGAATGTACCATGTCCCTCCTGGAATTTGCTGACATTTTTGAGTCCTTATATTGATGCTATGTTTATTATTCCTCAGACTGAGACGATTGTTGATCTCTTGCTGATATATTCAAAAACTGCTGCGATAAAGTAGTCAGGAATGCACAGGAGGAATCAATGGTACGGAACAGGCCAATCACAGTAGCTGCGCGCTGCGTCAAGATGACTTGTAGTTACAATTCTAAGGAGGTTACACCAGGAGGGTGTGGGTTTCAGCGGGAGTTTGCAGTTTCCCACTGAAGCATAAATCCCCACCGGTCAAGCACCAAGATGTGTTTGGTTCCCCCAGTGCTTGATTAGTGTATGATTTTGCTTAGGACACTAGGGCATGAGATATTTTCTTGTTTCAGCCGTAACAACAGGTGTTGCAATATCAGAAAAGGCTGAAATCTTAATGACTTTAATAGGCAAGAGAGCTTGTCAACAGCAATCAAAATACATATTTTTTGGATGGTGGGGGGTTAGGCTTAACTGATCTGCTATCCTCTCATTAACCTCACCACTTTAGCACCACCTCCTCCTCCTGTACTGCTCATCTTTCTCTACCCAAGGACTGTTGTGCATTTAGTCGCATTGCATATTTTAGCCTGCCATCTGGTCAGCCCTGCCCGGCGCTACAGGAGGGCCTCCTATCCTTTCATATTCATATTCCACTAGCATATTGTTCCCACCGCTTTTCTACAGCGCAGCCCCAGCAATTCTCCATTTCTTTATTTATTTCTACAGAAGAGGCTGGCAAGCAAACTGCACCCCCCCTCCTAATCGGCGGCTCTTCCAGTTGTCCTATCAAGTGTAACCTGGAGGCCCCTAGCAGAGCAATTAGAGCGGCCTCCCTGACCACCTCTTGTAATGAAGCCCAGCACATTCTGGAATCTATAGCCCCTTTAGTCTCCCCTAATGGGACATCATTATTGTCAAAGAAACAATGTAAATGGAAATGAACATACTCATTAGCCAGTCGCAGGGAGAAACCTTTGCTGCTCTCAGCTTGCAACTCCTGCTTCCAAACACACACACACACACACACACACACACACACAAGAGTGAACCTCCTCCCTTCAGCTTCTGTGGACTGCTGCTCGAGCTTGCTTTATTCCTCTGGCAGCGTGTTTGTTTTTGTCTGCATATGTGTGTACCAAGAAAGACAATGCTCATGTTTTACTCAAGGTGAGAGGGGAGTGGAGTGAACATAGATAATTCCATTATTGGCATTCACTCAGTGTTTCTACAGATGTTAATTGCTGCATGTGTTTGTGCCTGTCTGTGTAAGTGAAGTCTGTTCAAGCTCCCACCCCAGTGCTTCTTTGCTTACCCTTCCCAGGGTGCACCAGTGCAGCGGTCCAGGTCCCTGTCTCCAGCCGGCAGCGCCGGGTTCGGAAGTGAGAGGAGAAAAGAGGCAGAAGAGAGGATTCGAGACCTCGAGGAGCTGCTGCAATTGAAGGTAATTACTTGCCAATGTATACAAATAAATATAATGTCTTAATCTTTTCCACCCCTCTTAGAACAGTTTATTTATCCCCAAGTTTAGAGTACAGTTCTCACTCTGATTCCTTATGGTCGAACTTTATTTTATTCGTCTTTTTTTGCATCTTTTGTCTGTGTATCCCTGCATGACAGTGTTTCTCAAAGTGACATTGAACTACCCGAAGAAGTGGTTTGCTTCAAAAAGCACATTTGTTGTTGCTATATTTTGGTGACATCTGTTAGTATCAGTTTGAAGGAGCTGCTTGTTGCTGTGGCCACTAGCTTAGATATGATTGCTGCTATCAGCTACTGGTTTATATAGAGGTCTGCAAGAGAGTAACAGTGGTTCAATTGCAGTACTGCTGCCACTGCCTCCTCCGTGACCTTCTCTTACGGTGTCTTTCACACATACATACGTACATGGGCGCACACACAAGCAGAGTGTGCGTAGGCAGTGAAGCAGCAGGAGAGAAGCCGCTCTGGTGAAAGCGGATGCAGCCATTTTTCTTTCTTTTTTTTTATCCTTAAACGAATCAGCTTTATTGGTCTTTTAACCTTCACGTGCTCTGTGATGTTCTTCTCAGACTATTCTTCGTCCTCGTGTTGTTTTCAGTGTCTCCAACTGGCTGCAAGCAAAAGAAAAAAAGTTAATTTTCACCCCCGTGTTGCACTTTCCCCTAAAGCTCACTGCCTTTAAAAAACAAATCTCTCTATCTTCGCAGCTGACCAACGAGTGAGTGATTATCCAAAGGTCATCTCCCTTTGAACACAATCCCAGGAACGCATTAGGCACCATTTCCTTGTCAGATCTGAAGTGTCTGAATTACATCACTGGCAGACACCTCGACAGTAATGCTCAACATAGATTCAGACAACACGCATGACTGTCTTAGTTAATGGTGCCATTTACTTGTCTGCTGTTTGAGGGGCATTTAGCAAAGGTATGCACAGAAAAACGTGACTACATTAATGAGGGCATTTGTTCAAGGCATGATTTAGTGGTTTTTGTCCTTTGCTTGTTTCTGGAAATAAGCAAAATGCCCTCTATCAGTTGCACTTGAGACCTTACCTTCAGCCTCTTACTGTGCAGTACTTTGCTTGGTTCAGTTCGCTGCTGTGCAGTTTTCCAGTCCTTTCCAACAGAATGCTTTTCAAATTGGGTACGGCAGCCATACCATTGACATGTTGACCTTAGCTGCGAACAAACAAACAATTCTCTTAATAACGCCCTCCTTTTTTTCTACTTCACACTTTGAAGTAAAAAGTAGCTGTTGCTGTGTAATTATTTTTCAGCTTGAGAACGTCCACACATGTGTTCACTGACTGAGTGGGGCTGTATTGATCGGTGGGCAAGGGTCTGTGGCCTGATGACCAGAGCTGGTCTGCCCAGGGGGAAGCTCTATAAGGAGCCTGGGAAGCCATGATGTGGCTAATGCCCTGCCACTTGCACCATCCCACCCCCCCGCCGCCCCTCCATCAGTCAGCCACAACTCCTCTGTGTCCCCCCTCAGCCTCTAGTTCCACCAGTTAACACTGCTCTGGTCTGGCCCCTTTCATTAAAGCCCTGTTTTTGAGAGGTCGGGGGCTGCTCGAAAGGGCTGACGATGTCTTGCAGATGTCCTCAGTGAATAATCCGCACTAGGGAAAATCCATACTTGTCACATCGGCAGTGTGGATGTGCAGTGCGCGTGTGTGCACACACATTGTGTGTGCACACACATTGTGTGTCCAGCGCATATTTGTGTGCGCTCTCTCTCTGTTCTCTTTGTCCTTGTTAATAATAACAGGGCCGAGGGCTCGCATTTCCCTCTCTGCAGGGTAGCCGTGTCATATCAGCAGTAAACAAGCTCCTTCCCTTCAGAAAGCACTCGACAACTCTCCCTAGCCTTGGCCACTCAAGCAGAAACCTGTCCTGCACCCTTCCTTTCACTTTTCCTTTTCCTCCCCCCTCTCTCTCTCTCTCTCTCTCTCTCTCTCTCTCTCTCTCTCTCTCTTTTCCCTCTCGTACTAATTTCTCAGTTCTCTTTCTCTTTTCTCTACTTCCGTGAGCTCTCTGTCTCTTTTTCCTTACCCTCTTTCCACCTCTGTTTGTCCTGCCTGTTGAAAGAATTTTTTCCATTGCCCTCCCTGTTAAGGTCAATGTGATGAGGGAGGAGGGATGCCCCTGACAAGAAAAATCTATATGTTGTCTTCTCTTAACTCCTTCTTTAAAGCAGGAGCCCAATCTCGTTCTGTTTTAATAGCTGTCAACAGCAACAAACCCACCACTACAACCCCATATCACAACACACGGTTGTCATCAGTTGGTAACTCCAGTGAGTTTGTTTCTTTGCTGGTTAGCGTGAGCGTGCGTGAGTGTGCAGGCCTGTTTAGTGTACAGTGGCACCAGCGACTTGTCATGTAAACGCCTCATTTTAATGATGCCTCAGTTGACCAGAAGGAGTGGAAGCATTTGTTTGGGAGAAACAAGGAAAGTGGAATGAATCTTGACCGGCTGCTTTCTGTTAGGCCGAGATGTTTCAGCTGCAAAGCAGCTTAAATATGTTGGTTTCTTATATTTCATGCCCAGTATGGGCTGTATCAGTGCAATTGCGGCAAATTCCCTTCTTCTGTTAACTTTGATTTGAGTTACCCAACTCAGGACGGAATGTTGCCATTGTGCTTTACAGATGGAGGAAAATGAAGAGCTGAGGAGAGCTCACGATAAACGTCGTGAACGCCTGCGTTTGATTCAGACCAACTACAAGGCAGTCAGAGATCAGCTGAAAGAGATGGAGAAATCAAATGGCATGTGAGTACACACTTTACTGTCTAACATTTCATAATAAACTCTTATCTCACAGGAAATTATGACTGCAAATGAATGGTGAAAGATCAAAATATACAGAACCCACATCTTCATAAAATAAAACCTGTGCATACACAAAGCAACTGGGATAACCTCCAGTTTCACTACGCAGCAGTGAGTGAGAGACACTTCAAAGCATATAACTCGCCTTGCCTTATGTTAAAAGCCCTGTGAAACACTACAACCCCCTGAAACCACTCACAAATAGTCTTAGGGCCCCATTGCGCTCCACATGTTGTCTGACAAGACCTGAGTTCTGGATTTGGGAGAGTGGGAGAAATTCCGCTTTTTTCATCTTTGAAAAGCTCAGAGGTTTTAAGCCCAGTCAAATTGGCCCGTTTTGTGCCAAGTGTATGTGCTCTTCGTCTCTTCTCCCTCAGCGTTCATTAAGATGTGAGAGCCAGAGGCTGGAGGTGTCTGGTCCTGGGGGTGCAAGGTGTTTGAGAAGGCCTGTGGAGGAAGGCTGCAAGAGGGAGGAGGGATGAGAGCCATTTCCTGTTTTGAGCTGCTATCTTCAGCAAAAACCACGGGATTTTTTACACAAAGTGGAAAATGTGCTGGAAAATGTCATTAACATACGGGTCTTTTCTTTGTGTTGTCTCCACTAGTCGTTTCCCACTTTGCTGTCTATTTCTTTTCTCCACCAGCGTCATTAAGACCGCTCAGAGAGTAGCTAAAGGTGCGTATATGTGGTGGCCGTGCGGGAGCGAGGTGTTGACCCCGTCAGCTGTTTTCTCTCTGGGTTAATTAAAGAAAACAGCAGTGCAATGCGAGCCCGTGTGAAAGTGGAGTGAGTGCGAGAGCGTGTTCAGCCCTAGGCTCGACTCGGCTCATGTTAGCTCAGCGCGGCTCAGCAGCATGTGTCTGAGACAGTGGGAACAAAGACGGCCATGTAGAGAGAGCCTCGGCAACGTTTCGCTGTTACGAATGAAACACTCTGAATGGTAACATTGATTTTTGTTAAAAGAAAGCATGCATGTTCCTTTAATAATACAAACAGGGATTTAGTTCAGTATAGAAAGCCTAATGTTAGATTTCAGTCTATCAGTGTCAGTGTATCTGTGTTTCTTGAGTGATTTGACATGAAATTGATGCAATAGGCAGCTTTGCCCTTTTCAGTCTTCCTTGGCACCAACCAGTCACTCAATGTTATGATCTTGGCATTCATTTGGCATTAGGCCACATCCTTAAATAGCTGTTAAGCCCACTGGGGTAATGCCCGCCTGAATGAGAGACAATAGAAAATGACTTAAATACTCCCATTAGTGCTAGGAAATCAGGGGCCTAACAAGTCAGCGGGGATAGACGTTGACTCTCATTGCATTTCGAGCTTGTTAGGGATGTCCCAACAGCTTCCATGCTGCGTTGTTGTAGATGCAGGGGGGTCAGTTTGATCCCCTTTGTGTTCCTGACCAAACGATAAATGGGTAAGTGCGTCTCTCTTCACCTGCCTGTACGAATGCATTTACTTATTTGCCGCGTCCGTCAGGTTTAGAAATGTTTAGACAGTGTCACAATTTTTTTATTATATTTCGTTTTTCAAAATGACCCTCTGGTAAAGGTACTTTCAAAAGTGCTGTGTTGAGTAGTGATCCAGCGTGTTTCAGATATTCTTTAGCAAAGTCTATTCCTATTCTAGCATTTTATCCTTGGGGCTGATGAGTGTTTTGCACCTTGTGGTGAACCCTTTGTATTTGCTCTTGTGAAGTTTTCTCTTAATGTTAAATTTTTCAAGAATATGCTCACCTGCTTTAGAGTGTTTCTCATGTGGCTGAATGCTGTGAAGGGTTTTCTTTAGTATAGAAAGGAATCCTGTACTCGTAGTTTTTTTTTAAAGATATACCAAAGTGTCGATGTAGCAACAACTAATGTTTTTGCTATCTCTCCAATGTATATCTAATAAAGTTCCAGCCTAATGGCATATTTCATTTACTTCAAGGGCGTCGTCCACATGTTTTATGTCCACCAAAAACGGCATCCTAATACAAATGCCACACATTAAATCAGCTCTAGACTATTTAGCTGCTTTACTGATGAAGCAAGAATAAAGGAATGTCCCATAGCTATCTATGACAAAACTACATAGGCAAGAAAAATTTGTAAACTCACTGGAATTACCAGAATGTTTCAATTTTTCCCTGAAAATGTGGTATGATCTTTATCAAAATTCCAGTTATGTTCAAAAGTTTTTCTTTTGTCAGTCTCCAGCATTGCCCAGCAAATTATTGATTAGATGATTGGTTTGTGTGCAATCAGCTGCCAAAAGATGTCAGCAATGTGTCTGTTAGCCAGTCCCGCCCAGAATAGAACTGCCAACCAATCGCAAATCAGAAGAACAGTCCATCGGCTGATCGGTATGCAGGCAATGTGCAGTTGGCCAGTCCCAGTGAAATCACCCTGCCATTCACCATTACTGCACCACCATATTTTCCCAAAATGGTGTGAAGAAGAGAGAGAGAAAAACCCAACTTCTTATTTATATTAGAGAAGGGAAAACGTTTTTTAATCAGACTGGGGATGATGGGGGTGAGCAAATAAAATTAAAGGTTATTAAAGCATCCGTACTCTGATCAAAGTTGCGCCCATAAACAGATTCCCCCTGATTCAGAGCAATTAGCCGCAGCAGCGTGGAAAAGTTCTCTCTGTTTCCTCCTGCTTAATAATGGAAACAAGGATACCATAAGGGAGGATGCACTGAGGCCTGAAGAAGATGGCTCTCTCATGGCTCCATGTTCAACAGCTTTTAGGCCCACTGTAAACAAATTAAAATGTATAAAGCTTTACCATGACTTAATAAAGCTTCTTGCACATTTCTTAAGTAATGCAGATGATACACTGCAAACCGGAAATTGCACAGGGAGAATTGAAACAGCTGTGGGTAAAAGATCTTGTACTTACTCCAGGCACTTTTAATGTAGGTTTGGCTTCATTCATTGTGTGCTTTCAGAGAAATGTCAGTCTCTGTGCCTATAGAGTACAGTAAGGTTATGTATTAAATAGCTTTAGACTCTGGGAAACTAACACAATACTCCCATAGCACGCATGTACGGCCACACAACTACACTCTAAAGAAGTTCAAGGGCTTCAAATTGCTCACGGGGGCATTAGCAGTATTAAATGAAAACATTTGCCATTCCTCAGTAGCTTCTAACTCCCAGTCACCAGGGTTTAACTAGTATTAGCATAGCACGGCGGCATCTAGATAGCCAATAATGACCATGGGAAAAGGACCCCTCCGCAACAGCGACCCTCACAATCCATTTCCACACCCCTGCCACATTGATCGAGTGAAAATGAGAAGTCGGTGTGTCTGTGTGCGTGACAAAAACGGTATTCTCTTCTCATCTGCTTCTTTTGCAATCTGTGGATTTCTCACTAAAACCTGTTTTAGTTTGCAAATGAAAGGCTAATTGGAATTGAATGTGTTGGGCTCTGGCTGATTGATGAGTTGGATGTGTGCAGGGATGCAGTTGGGGGCAGTGGCGATGGTGTGTGTGTGTGTGTGTGTGTGTGTGTGTGTGTGTGTGTGTGTGTGTGTGTGTGTGTGTGTGTGTGTGTGTGTGTGTGTGTGTGTGATTTGAAATGGGAAGTTCAATGGAGGCGGCAGCTACTGAGCACAAAGTGTCATTAAGTATTCATAAGTGAGGTGTAGACATTTGAATGACCTCGTTTGCGAGTGTGTTTTTGCCATTATTTACATTTGCATGGCACACAGGGAATGCTCCACTGCCCTGCCACACGGGCAGTGCCCTGGGCTTTAACAAACATGCATACGTCGGTACATGATTTGCCACTGAAATGTCAAAGTCAAGGCTGCTCATTTGAATACTGCTAAAGATGGCTGAATAATAAAAACACAGCAACACTAAGGGGCCTTGTTACCCAGAGTGAATTGGCCAGAGGCAGCAAGTTGATGTATAGTACCAACAATTTTCCCTTGTTAGTAGGTTTACTTTCCTTATGTCCGTATGTGTGCCAAGTGAGCCTGTGTTTTTCAGTTTCGCTTGTCTATGCATCTACACTTTGGTCTTCTTTTGTTGTGTGTCTAGGCCAGGTGGAAGGATACAGCGTGCAGCGCCGTGGCAGCTGCGGCAAGAGGACAGTGATGCTGTATGGAATGAGCTGGCCTACTTGAAAAACCTCACCAGAAAACTCTCTATTGAAAAGTAAGTTGCCTGCATTAAAAATTCCCTGCCTGAAAACTTCCAATCTTTAAGTTGCAGTAGACTTGTTAGCTCACATGTGCACCTAGAGTTTAGCAACAGTACTGACACTCCCAGCTTGAAGTTACTTGAGAGATGCTTTTCATTTCATGTTACTTCTTTGTTACTTCTTCTCTTTGCTCCTTCTTTTGTCTTTAGTCTGTCTCTGGATGTAGTGTAGCCATTGTCTTGTTTGATCTAGAGAAGCCCCCTGTAACCGTACCACTAACACTGACCCTCTGCAGTGCTACACAAAGCTTGGCCTAAAGCCATGGTCTACCTCTCTCCAGTCTTCCCTAGCCTTCACCTCTGCTCACCTCTTCCCTTCTCTATCTCGTGCCTCTGTAACCTCCCCTTACCCTCTTCCTACTTGTCTTCCCAGTTGTCTCCCTCCGGCCTTCTGTGATGCTGCAGTAGGCTGAGGCCAGAATTCTAGTACTTCCCCACCACCACCCCCTTCATTGCTTTCCCCTCTGCTCACCCCCCTGCCCTGTCCTCCTAATCCCAGCTGAGCTCATTATGATATAGCCCGGCTGGCTCTCTCCAAGCCTGAGCTGTCCGAGCTAATTACAGGCTAGCAGCCCTAGTGCCGCTGATGCTGCCTGTTAAGGGATGTCCGTCCGCCTGCCTGCCTGCCTGGCCACGACTAGAACTGAGCAGACCCGAGCACAATATGATATAGAGGCGGGGCGTGTGGGAGTGAACAGACCGCAGTGAACATGCAGGTTCCTTGGAACTGACCTGCAAGGAAAACCACAAGGGATGGAGAGCTGCTGGCCTCCTTCCTAGCTGTGCAACTGCCTCATCCTTAGGGGTTGGTGTTGATCCCCCTCATGTGCCCCTGACCAGCACTCCACCTCATTTCCTTCTTTCCCGGCCCTCACATGCGACCTCACGACGGTCGCTTGTGGAAAGTAAACTTGGCTGAGATGTTTTTAACTTGCACTTTAGAAACAAAACCTCTCAATTCCAGGGCAAGCATCTTCACACACGTACAGCTCAGCAGGTTCCCTGTCACTTTTCCCATCTTTATTCTGCTCCTCCTTTCATACCTGTTGTGAGAATTAGCAGGAGTGAAAATAGTTTGGGACTGTGAACAAAGCCAGCTTAACCAAAAAGCTTTACTTTCCCGCAACTCACAATGCAAATTTCAGTTGAATGAGTCCATCCTAGTGCAAATAATCAAAGACGGTCCTGTTACCCTAAAGCAAATGCCAGGAAAGACTTGGGGCATGGAGGGAAAAATTTGCTTTTCACTGACTAGTATTATAATAAATGTGTTCATAACAGTTCTGTCAGATAAGTGTAATTGTTGTCTCATAACAGCTAAAATAAAGGCCCTTATTAAGCTTTAAATAGCTAGTGGTTGGTTTAGAGGAGAGTCTCTGTATAAACTCTATTTGTTTTTCATTTGGTTTCCTCATTGTCATGATATCATTCACAGATGCCTTCTTTCACCTTCTCCAAAAACAGCACATTTAAAGCACTGTCTTGAGGCCCAAATGACCATTTCCCACAATGAATATTGCTCTGATAACTTGTGCACAGTGGGTCCCTAAAGCACTAAGAGAGGGTTATCAAAACCAGCCCCCTGTAATCTAAGCACTTGAATAGCAGGGTGAGGAGGAAGGTGAAACAGGTCTGTTCTGTTTTGTTCGCTGATTTGTCGGCTCCCTGTGGTTTAATTTAAGGATGAATTAGGCAACAAATTACTTATTATTTGACAACTTTTTACTTGAAAATCATAGCAAACACCTATTGCGTGAACTTGCAGGAAGGATGACTTTTCATGTAACATTAATAAAGGTCTCTTTGGGCAGCACACGCAGCTAATACTAATTTGTTGAGTTTTGAAATGCTTTTGAATGAGTATTATTTTAGGCTCAAGTCTGTATGAATATGAATCAGGTCTGTAAACTGGCAGCACTTTATAATAATGTCACACTATTATGCATTAGTAAGGTCTTAGTTCCTTATTAAGAAGTGCTTAATTAATCATTTATACAGCATTGCTCTTTAGTTTGTCATTTATAAATTCAAATATATTTATCCATCGTTTACTGTTATCCCATACTGTATACACCTATCACTACTGTATCGCTATTATTGCTGCTATATTAATGTTAGTAATAATCATAATCATAGACATAGAAATAGTAGTATATTTGTATTTATAAATGGCATACTACAGAGAAGTAATGCTATATAAATGATGAATGCACTTGCTAATACCTTTGCTTCAATTCCTACCTCCAACTTGGAAAAAGTCTGTTTCCAAAACAATTGCCTAGAAAACAGGATAAACAGGATGCAATAATTTACAAAATATTAGAAAGTATCACCAAGTCAACATATTAAATGCTGACTTACAGTATTTAATGCACGTCTCCACACTTAAATTTCTCAAAGGTGGCGTGCCAGATTTGGTGACCCCACTTTTGATGTAGCATTAAAAGACTAACAAAAGTTGTGTATTTCCTGTTTCCTGAGAAGTGCAAATTGTTTTATATGGGACTAAGTTTAGATCATAGGCATATGGTGGGGGAAAAAAGGAGGGAAAGCATATCCCTGGGGGAAATAAAATGTGGTGGTCCATTTTTCTAATTGTAATTTTCTAAAGGCCATTTCCTCTTTAGTGATTTGATATGCCATGTTGCATTTGGCACAGCTCAGCTTATGCAGTTCCTTACAGCTGGCAGTGTTGCCAGCACTAGGAGGACGCAGAGCATCTTGATCTCCTCTTTATTTTATCTCCCCTAATCACTTATCTCAAAACACGAACAGATTTTTTTAGCTGCTCTTTCTGTTTAATGCCTCTCAGTATTAGGCTATATTCCTGCTGAGCTCTGCTCTATCATGGTTATTTTGCATTTCATCACAACCCATCTCTCCAGTTGTACCATTAGCCTTCCAATATTAGCTGCTAGTTTTTACAGATACTGCTTTAACAGTCACTAGAGTCACACAGTGAATTTCTTTAGTTTTCCACTTTTCTGTAGTGATCGGTGATGCGGGCTCAAAATTATGTCACAATATTTAAAGATAATTTACTGACAATTTAAAAAAAGAAAAGAAAAATAACTGAGTGTTTTGTTGATGCTTGAAAGCAGCATTTATAAATCTTTTCAAATGCACCACAGTCTTCGATAATGCACTTCCAAATTGGAACTCTAAATATATTGAAACAAGATCAAAGGAGCTTGCAAAGAAAAGCGTCTGGACTTCTTTAAGTTGCTTGAAGACGTTTCACCTCTCATCCGAGAAGCTTCTTCAGTTCTAAGGTCAAATGGTGGAGAGTCCCAGATATAAACCTAGTGGGAGTGACCCCCCACAGAGGGACAAAAGGACCCCCTGATGATCCTCTAATCGCCTGAGCCAAGGTGTGAAACTGGGCGTGGGTCCCAATCAGCCAGAGTTTCGGGTGTGTTCATTGTGAAACCTGGCCCCACCTTATCATGCGAATTCCTGAGGTCAGATGGCCCAGGATGTGAGTGGGCATTAAGGCGTCTGGGAAGGGATCTCAAAACTGGATTATAGATGGCAGAGAGTTGGTGTCGTAAACCACCGCCTCTGTTCAAAGATGGTCGCTCACAGTGGACATAGATGGCTTCTTTCACTCCTCTTTCAAACCATCTGTCCTCTCTGTCCAAAATGTGAACATTGGCATCCTCGAAAGAGTGTCCTTTATCCTTAAGATGCAGATGGACTGCTGAGTCTTGTCCTGTGGAGGTGGCTCTTCTGTGTTGTGCCATGCGCTTGTGAAGTGGCTGTTTGGTCTCTCCAATGTAGAGGTCTGAGCATTCCTCACTGCACTGTACAGCATACACCACATTGTTAAGTCTGTGTTTTGGCGTTTTGTCTTTCGGGTGAACCAGTTTCTGTCTGAGCGTGTTGCTGGGTCTGAAATACACTGGGATGTCATGCTTGGAGAAAACTCTACTGAGTTTCTCTGATACACCGGCTACATAGGGGATGACAATGTTGTTGCGTCTGTCCTTCTTATCCTCCCTCGCTGGTGTCTGGTCTTCTTTTCTCTGCCATCTATAATCCAGTTTTGAGATCCCTTCCCAGACGCCTTAACGCCCACTCACATCCTGGGCCATCTGACCTCAGGAATTCGCATGATAAGGTGGGGCCAGGTTTCACAATGAACACACCCGAAACTCTGGCTGATTGGGACCCACGCCCAGTTTCACACCTTGGCTCAGGCAATTAGAGGATCATCAGGGGGTCCTTTTGTCCCTCTGTGGGGGGTCATTCCCACTAGGTTTATATCTGGGACTCTCCACCATTTGACCTTAGAACTGAAGAAGCTTCTCGGATGAGAGGTGAAACGTCTTCAAGCAACTTAAAGAAGTCCAGACGCTTTTCTTTCCAAGCTCCTTTGACTACGATGACCTGGATGACTGAGAACCTTCACAGACATATTGAAACAAGATGCCAACAGCAGCATTATAGTAGTGGCCCAGTATCATATCCAGTCATACAGCATAAGTCAAATATCAACATAAAAGCTTTAAATTTAAAGTAAAATTATAGTATAGCCACTGGTCTAAACCTTGGTTTTCCATCCACTGTTTGCTTTCCCTGTCATATGGAGTGCATCTAGCCAGTGCTCCATCAACACCCATTTGAGCCATTTGTTCACATTTGGGTCACACATCACCAGCTAGTTGTTCCTCCTCCTTCATAACCTGATTTTACTCAATGGTCTGTTTTGTTTTTTTTGCCTCAAGTGGTGAAACACATGCTGTTTCCACCTTTAGCGGGAACAGTTTACTTGCATATTTTGCAGAGTGCTGTGCTTTGCCAGAGGTTGCTAAAGTAGCTTCCTTTTTAGGCACTAAATGGTCATCAGAGGCTGACACCTGACTCTTGCTCTTAGACATGCCTGGGCTTGTGTCCTTGTTGTACACACTAGGGAACATAAAGGCACGCTGTTGCGAGCAATAATAGCATGATAA